TCTGTGTGTAAAAGCGTCTGTGTGTAAAAGCGTTTGTGTGTAAAGGCTTTTGTGTGTCAAAGCGTCTGCGTGTCATGAGAGTGGTGATGCTTCGCACGAGCACGAAATGGACGTTGGACGTCAAAAACTGAGGAAAAATTTGCGATGGACGCTTTCGTTTGTTTAAAAGTGTCTGTGTGTAAAAGCCCCTATGTGTATAAGCGTCTGTGTGTAAAAGTGTCTGTGTGTAAAAGCGTCTGTGTGTAAAAGTGTCTGTGTGTAAAAGTGTTTGTGTGTGAAAGCGTGTATGCGTGTGTAAAAAACATCTGCGTGTAAATGCGTCTGTGTGTAAAAGCGTCTGTGTGTAAAAGCTTTTGTGTGTAAAAGCGTCTGTGTGTAAAAGCGTCTCTGTGTAAAAGCGTTTGTGTGTAAAGGCTTTTGTGTGTCAAAGCGTCTGCGTGTCAAAGTGTGTATGTGTAAAAGCACCATGTGTAAAAGCGTGTGTGTGTGTGTAAAAGCTTTTGTGTGTAAATTTACCGCACGACATGGAACTGGCAGAGATTGACGGTGAAAATGCTTGCTAGTGCATCCGTGCGAGGACGTGTGGAGCTCGGTTCGTTTGGTTGCAATGAGAGTGATGATGACAGCAATACAACTGCTTTCGATGGTGCGCGCTACACCAAGGTTGAGACCACACAACGTGTAAAAGTGTCTGTGTGGAAATGCGTCTGTGTGTAACGGCTTCTGTGCAAACATTCATCTTTAATGTATTGTCTTGTAATATAGTGTCTCAATACTAACAACAGAAGACCCTGCTCTCTCTCTCTCTCCCTCTCTCTCGTCTCCTCCTCTTTCTCTCTCTCCGTCTCTCTCCCTCTCCCTCTCTCTCCCCCTCGCCCTCTCTCTCTCTATCTATGTCTCTCTGTGGTTGCACGTCACGTGTCATACGATGCCCTTTATACCAAGCAGCACAGTGCATGTGTATAGGTTGTCACATGTATCCTCTGATTAACCAATCTTACTTTTCACAACTTATCCCTCCATAGCTCATATAAAATTCATCAACCATTCACCGAATCTTTTTTACGACTACCATACTCAGAGCTGCTTGAAAAACGTGTTTTTCGCTCTCGGGCCAACCGTCGTCTAGTTCTGTTCAAAGTATTTCAGGGAAGCTGCTTTTATCTGAAGGCACGGTTGCCTGCCAGCAATGACGACAACAACGTTTTCTTAAACGCCACGCGTATGCGACTGCAGCGTAGCAATGGGAAAGCAAAGGCTATTGAGTAGACTTTGCGCTGCTTGCCGGTGAATGCCTGATGCCATTTTCTGCTTCCATTTTTGTTTGCGCTTCTGTCTAATTTTCAATAGATGAAGCCACATTTGGCTTCATTTTCAACACCAGCGCTTGGCTTCAAACATGTCATTGACTATGGACAAAATTCCGCAGTTTGGGAGCATGTCTATCATGAAGGTTTCCAGCGCAAGAAGCAACCAGTGGTGGTTCTTGACATGTCCCACGGGGATAGCACATGCAAATCGATTGATGGATGCTGCCTGTCGCCCATCTTGTCCTGTTTATTAACATCTATGTTTCCATACGCGCCTGCTTTCCAATCATTGCCGCGAACCAAGGTGAAAATGACTTTAAAGAGGGGGCTTGGTTTGATACTTTTTTCGACCTGACACGGACATAGACAGTCTTGACATTCTTCTTGTCATGTTGCTGATTGTAATATGCATCCATTGGAAAAGGATGAAACGGGAACAAACCCAAAACACCCTTCCTAGTCTTGCGAAAAAGTTCGTGGCTATTTTCAAATTCCGCCCTCTCTCAGTTACCTTTGCTTTTACATTTTTGATTGAAAATCGCATCATGAAATCATAAAATCATGAAGTGGTAATATTGGCATTTTTTTCAAAATGAAAGAACTTTTTTGAAGAAAATTGAGTTTTACGATTTAACGGCTTTATGCTGCCCCTGGTGCAATCTAAAAAACTAGGTCTGGGAAAGTTTTTTAGCATTGGTGCGCAGCACCAGCGTACGGCAACTGCAACTACAGTACCTGCCACAAACTCCAAAAAAAGACAGATTTTGGCTCCAAACTCGAAGCCAAAATTTGATCCCAAAAATGATGCCATTTTTGGCCTCGCCTAATGAAACAATAGAAGCGGCTTGCTTCCCAGAAATTGAAATTGAAAATGGGCTTCCGTCCAAAGAAAATACAAACGGTCCAAAACCAAAAGAAATACCGCGCCAAAAAAAGATCTCCCAATGAGTGTGCCCCAGCAACTCTTTTACAGATGCTCGCATAACTGAGGCGTATGTCTAGCACGAAGTTCCATTCTTCAACAAGCGAAGCACATCAAAGATCATACACGTGTTTTTTCGGGTCATGTTGGCACAATTCCTTTGCATCGTCTTGAAGTCTGGAAGGCAGCATGTGTCAACTCATGGATACACCGTCATGGCTAGGGCACAAGCATTGGAACCGCGCAGTAGCATGGACAACTGTGTCAACAGAGCAGTTTCTGGGAAACGCTTGACATTCTTTGCGGAGAAACTGTCTTTCTACAAGTACTCTGATCCTGGTGTGGTGGATGAGCTAGTCAAGGGTGCATCCTTGACCGGGGATGTTCCGGAGACTGGCATGTTGCCCTTTCAGTTTACTCCTGCTGTGCTCATGGTGGATGCCCTCAAAGTGCACTCCGCCCTTAGAAGAAGTCATTTGTTTTCTCAGGCAAAGGGCCTGGCAATGGTGAAGTGGACAAGGAGGTCTGGCGCCAGACCATTGAAGAAAGAGATAAGGGTTGGTTGAGAGGCCCTATTGATCTTTCAGAAGTACCCGAAGGGGCGCCCATCTCTCGGCGCTTCGGCCTGCTTTAGAAACATAAGGTGAGATTGAGTGATGACTACACCGAATTATCAGTGAATGATACAGTCAATTTGTACGAAGCACCAGTATTACACACAGTGGACGTAGCATGCGCTGTTCTGACCTATTGGTTTTCCTCTGCAAAGGAGACCTCAACAGATCCAACACTGCTGGCTCATACTTTTGATTTGTCTTCTGCATATCGACAGGTTGGTTTGAATGAGCAGAGACGCGAAGTGTCCTATATCCGAGTATATAACCCGGAGAAAGGCTGCATGATGGTGTTTCAGGCCTTGGTGCTGCCCTTCGGTGCCAAAAAGAGTGTGCACTCATTCTTAAGACTGGCGCGCGCAATCTGGTGATTGGGTGTTGTTGCGTGCAAACTTCTGTGGTCTTCTTTCTTTGATGATTGTATAATATTCAGCCCCCCAGCACTTGCGAAGAGTTCAGAATTGGCAGCAGTTGCGTTGTTTAAGATTCTGGGTTGGCTATTTGCAGAGGAAGGAAGAAAGTGCAAACCGTTTGATGAAACCTGCCAAGCTCTTGGTGTGGTATTTGACATGTCTGATTCCGACAAGTTTTTGTGCAAGGTGGCAAATACAGCCTCTAGGATTGAAGAAATATCGTCAGAGATTCGAAGGGTCTTGGAGACAGGATCCATCTCTCAATTAGAGGCGCAGAAACTCAGAGGTAGGATGCAATTCGCCGAGTCACCGATTTTCGGCAGAAGAGGAAAACGTTGCATTGGTTGTCTCCGCGATTTTTCTTGCAGGAGACGGTCTCGCATCACCACTTCAGATGCTCTGTTCTTAAAGCTGTTTTTAAGCTTGCTTAAGTCAGAAGAGCCGAGAGAGATTTCTTTACAACACGAGTCGTCAGTGGTGATGATTACCAATGCTTGTTATGATAGAGAATCACGGGACCTCATTTGTGGTTTTGGAGGTGTTTTAGTCGACAACGTACGGGGTTTGAGACTTTTCTTTTCTTGCAGACTCTCAGAACAACAGAGAGTCCTTCTGGGAGAGTTACATAAGAAGCAGATCATTTTCGAAGCTGAAACACTGTGCGCATTGTTGGCGTATTGTTTGTGGACTGAAATTTTCTCAGGAAGAATGTGCTTCCTTTATGTTGACAATAAAGGGACGAAATTTAGCTTCATGAAGGGCACTTCAAAAAATCCAATTGCACAAGTTTTTGCTGAGACTGAGACACACGTAAAGATTCTTTGCTGGCTGGCTAGGGTAAGCTCTTTTTCAAACATTGCTGATGCTCCTTCCAGAGGCGACTGTAACTTGTTGAGGAGTTTACAATTTAGAGATGTCTGTGGTGATGCGACGATTTGTCTCGAGAAGCTTTGCGTGTCCATTGAACAAAAGCTGGGGAGAACGGCTGGACTCGCAAAACCCATGGCCTAAAACAAGTGAACTTCATCCAGCTTGAGTGAACTGCATCAGCATGAGTGTCGTATGAAAATAATTATCGATCTTCCACCATCTCCTTTGTTTTTCCTGCCTTTTCCGCGCCGCTTCAACCATTGTTTGTGATTATTGGAAGAAGTTGACTTGTTGGGTTATCCAGTCTTTAATTATTTGATTTGCATCTATTTCGGGATGGAGCTTAAACAAGATGAAGCTCTTGGGACAAGATCGAATAGTCTAGGCAGTTTTGAGTAAAGTCATTTACGTGTGCAGCTTTCATGCTTAAGGGTTGGAGTGGGAGGGACATCGTTAAACGAGTCCTTAGGATTGGTCAAAGAACCATTGGGGGTAGTGTAGCAGACTGTTAGCAGATGCCATGGATTCTTCCGACGTGCCCGGAATTGTGCCTGGAACCGACCTCAAACGATTGGACGTTGAAACACTTCATTTTGCAAGAGATGTTGATTTAACAAGTGAGCCATATGATGCTAGCGTTGCTGATGATGCTGACTTTTTAGGAGCTGGCACTTTTGAAGGGGACAATGCACTGCATGACGGTGATGTTTCAATTTTGTCTGGTGATTTTGGTTTTCAGACTGTTGACAATGCCTTCCAGAGAAACGATGCAAGTGAACCTGAACCTGGAGCTCTGGCATCAGCAGTTGACATACCTGTCGTCAGCGGTGCAGCCTGGAACTCAATGCTAGCTCATGCATTTGCGTCAAACATGCAGTCCAACGCAGCCTTGTTGTTACCTTGGGAAACTGGGACCATGAGGGCAGTCTTTTGTGATGATGTTTTGCCTAGCATGGACTATGGACCTGCTGACATGTCTGACACGACCATGCTTGCGTTCACAAGTGCAGAGCCATCCACAACGGGTGCACTCACTGCAGCGCCCACCTCAGCTCAGCCGGCATACATGAGTGCTGTGAAGTGTTTGAGGGATCTGGACTACATAGATGAGAAACGTGTTCAGATGTCTCTTGCTGCATCACGGTGGATGGAAATTCTATCTATCAATTGGAACGCATCACAGGTTGGAGAACAGATTTCAATGGATTTACAGGCCGATCCTACGGGGGCTCTAGCAGAGCAATCGCTGCATGCAGTCTTTGGCACAAAGTCTGCAACAACTATACTGAAACGTGCTGCAAGCCTCAAACAGTACATTTCATGGTTTCACAAGACCTGTTTGGAATCGGAAGTTTACTTGTGCCCACTGCCTTTGATGGAGGACGATGTTTGGAGGTATTTCATACACCTCAGGAACTTGACCAAGACAAACAAACGTGGATATACAGTGAGTTCAACGTTCCTGGAAACTGTAAGGTTCAGCAAATTTGTCTTGGGATTGCATCACAGTGATGACATACTTTCCTCAAAGAGGTTGTTAGGATTTGCAGCGGTGGAGAGACGTGAAAAGGGGCCTCTCAATCAGGCCCCACCACTTGAAGTTGAACATCTTCAGCGTTTGCATGAAATCCTGCTCAATGGGGCCAATGACATTGACAGGATAGGGGCTGGTGCTTTTCTTTGTGCAATTTATGCACGGGCTCGGTGGAGTGACTTGAGATACATCCATCATATCAAGTATGATGGGTACAAACGAAATGCGACTTGTGACCTTTACACTGCCGAGCACAAGACAAGCACAGCAGGGCTTAGAAGGGAGCAGTTTCTTCCTCTGGTCATTCCAACTGAGGGAATAGTGCATGGTGATTGGCTTGGCGTCTTCATAAAATTATGCCAAGACCATGGAACACAGTGGGAAAAGGTTCCCTTTGGACCATTGCTCCCTGCACCCACTGTTGACGGTGGATGGTGCATTCGTCCGCTCAGCACGAGTGAGGCAGCAGCCTGGTTGAGAAGATTGCTTGATGGATGCAAAGGGGCTTCAGAGATCCGAGCCCACTCAATGAAGGTTACGTTGTGCGTATGGGCAGCAAGGGCTGGGTTTAGCAAGGAGCACCGTGCGACATTGAGCCACCATGCAACAGCTTTGAATGGATCCGATGTTGTCTATTCGCGTGAGCTTCAGACTGGTGCAATTCGCAAACTACAGATGCTGCTCAAGAAGATCCGAGTTGGCTTGGACCCTAGGACAGAACAGGCGCCTTTGGATGCCATTACAGCAGCCTTTGACTCAGGACACAAGAGTGTTGTTAGGACACCCATGTTTGAGAGCCGTGCCCCTTGCACACCTTTGCCTGTTGTCGAAACCAATGTTCAACAAGCTGAGAAACATGTTGAGTGCAAAGTTGAAACCAGCTTGCATGATCTGTGCGTCCTGGCTGCCAGCGAGACAGCACCATTTGGCGACTTCATCCAGGACAAAGGACTGATTGCCATTGATAGTTCTTCTGGTAGTGATTCATCAAGCAGCAGTAGCGATGAAGATGATGACAGTTCAGATGATCATTTTTCGAATGCGTTGCCTGGCCCTGTTTACTCAGAAACTGTCCCAGAAGGTAGCTCTTATTTCGTGCACAAGAAAAGCAAGATCATGCATCGAGCTCGGTCAGCGGCCTCAGTGACCTTTTGCAAGACTCACCTCAATGACAATTTCAAAGAGACAGAAAGGAAGATCTTTTTCAAGTATCCAAAGTGCATGCGGTGCTTTGTTCACGACCACAATCGTTTGAAGACGGTTGATGCAGTAGTGAAAGCACTGGATAGCTCGGCAAAGAGACGCAAAGCGCCTGACTCTTAACTGCCCGAGCCCGAAGTTTGAGAAATGTCCGCATGCGAAGTTCATTTGTCATGTTGGTGGAGTTTGGCATGTTAGCACAACCTTGTGTTGAGAGACCACATGTTGTTCAGTGGAGAGCTGCACATATTTCAGTTTGAGTTTGAGCAGGGTTTTGCGGATTTTTCATTTCATTTGCCTGCACTTCACATGTCGTTTGCAGTTGTGAGAGTTTGTCATTTCAACACCAGAGGGTTTCAAAGGGTTCACTTGGATATTTTGACCAGACTGGGTCGAGTTTGTTTTCACAAAGATTTTAAAGTGGAAAGCCACTTTGCGAGAGTGAACCATTCAGATTTGCTGGAAAGCCAGAGACTCATAACCGGAAAGCCGGAATGTTTCAAGTTTGGAAACTGTTGCAGAGAGCTGCGATCTTGAGTTTGGCTCAAAGGAGCAATGCATGAAACATTGAGTCATCAAACAGCGTTTGAGCTGTTTCAAGATTTTCATTTGAAGTCAGTTGACAGAGAGCAAGTTGCATTGCTTTGCAAAGGCGTAGATGCGTGTTGACCCATCCTGACAGGTTAGATTCACGTTCAACTAAGGTCCTCTGCACCACACCTTTCACACGAATTTGTTTTGATTTTCATTTCTCCTCGATTGCTTGTGCCATGAGTCTTTTACTGGAATCAGAGGCCCAATTCGCCTCACGTGCAAAAGAGGTAGGCTTGTCAGAACAGGTCATCAATGACCTTAAGGCTGCAGGAGCTGGGACCTTGTCAAAGCTTGCCTTTTCTGTAGGCCAACCAGGTGTTCCAATTTCATCGCAAGAAGTTGATGCATACCTTTTGAGTGCACTAGGCCGTCAGCCTGTGCTTTCCGAAAACAATGCTGTACGTAGGCTGGCATTCGAAGCCCAGACACTTTTGGTGGCCAGTTTACGGCAAATAGTGGATCAAAAGGAGGACGGAGCACCAAAGAAAATAGGTGCAGCGGAGAGAGAAACACGTATGGCAGCCATACGTTTGGAACTTGGAGGACTTTCAATTTGTGATGACAATGAGCCATCACACACTTTGCTGGAGAAGGCTTGCCAGATTTTTGAATCAAACACCCTGTGTTACCTTGAGCCATCGACGTGCACTTCACGAACACAAGAGGTGCAGGGTGGAACGAAGACCAAAGAGTTGGCCTTTGAAGGTGGATCGCTTGTCGTGAAAGACAAGGACGATAAGTTGGTGGCACCGACTGCAAGTGAGTTACAATTCCTTGGTGCAATGACTCGGCGTGGAATCGCCTTCAAGTTTGCCAGGCTCATGACATATGAGCAGCACTCCATTTGGACCAATTTCTTGCTGCAGTCGCTTCAAAGGGAGGCCCCACCAGGTTATAGTAAGGCCACACTACATCAACTGATGCTGTGCGACAAGGCGGCATTTTCCAAGTTGGCGTCAACAATGCCAACAGTGCGTCCCCGAGATGATGGGACCTTTCAGTTGGGCGAGCGTTTGTTGGAGCTAAGGAATGACCCAATGATCACTCTGTATCTGGCACCACTGGCCAGGCCATCAAATACAGCTTCAGCAAGCCAAAGGCCTGCACCTTACAATACAAGTGCACCTTCCAGAACCTCAGGAGCAAGTGCTGGAGGCGGCAAGTCCAAAGGAAAAGGAAAAAAGGGGAAATCAACTCCCCCCATGCCTCAGGCACTGAGAAACAAATGGCACCGCACAGGTGCCGGGGAGCCCCTTTGCTTTGCATACAATTTGGGCGGATGCGACAACGCCCGTGACGGAGAGCGTTGCCCAAAGGGATGGCATCTTTGTGCAGAGCCGAAGTGTTTGCAGCCCCACGGCCTTAGCAATCACCCAAAGAAGGCATCTTGACGGTGCCTGAAAGACTGGACTGACAGTTTGCTGAACCAATGCTTCATGATTGAACTTTACAGTGGAACAGCAACGTTGTGTTCAGTTGCGAAACAGTCTGGGATGAGCGCTTCACTTGCGCTTGACAAGGCGCGCAAGCGGGGTGCTCGCTCCACCATTTTTGTGTTTGATATTCTCGATCCAAAGGATAGAGCTTTGTTATACCACTGGTTGGAGTCGCCGCTGGTTGTTTGGTTGCACATGGCTCCAGTTTGCGGTACATGTTCAAGAGCGCGGCAAATCAAGAATGGTGGCCCGCGCGCTTTGCGCACAGATGAGTTTCCCATGGGGTTGCCAGACCTTACAGCTGCAGAAAGGCAACGTGTTGATTTGGCGAACTCAATGTACTGGGAAACATGCAAGCTTTTTGGTCACTGCGTGTCTTTAGGAATTTTAGTGACTATCGAGAACCCCTCCAGGAGCCTATTTTGGGAAACAGTCCCATTCAAGCAATTGCTGGAGACCTTTGAGATTTGGTTTAGCAATACACAAATGTGTATGATGGGTGGTCATCGTCCGAAATGGACAAAGCTGGCTGCGAACTTTCCGCAGATTTCAGAAATGAATGTCGAATGCGACAACTCACATGCCCACTTGCCGTGGGGAAAAACCTTGAATGATGAGGGGAGAGAAGTGTTTGCCACCAGTTTGGAGGCTCAGTATCCACAAAAGTTTTGCTTCAGTTTGGTACAATGCATTATCCGGCAATTGCAGCGCTTGAACATGAAGGTTTTGCCGGAATCGTTGTTTGATGTTAAAGATGAGAAACTGTATGAAATGCAGACGGCTCGAATTGCAGCTCAGTCACAATCCAGACATAGCAAACTGCCGCCAATTATTTCTGATGTAGCCTCAGTTGCAGTTTTCTATGTTGCAAAGCCGTCTGACATTCCTTTTGCGCTGCAGAGCAAGCTGGACAAAACAATTGATGTCTTCACCTCTTCAGGTGTTCTGGCTCAGGTACCAAAATCTTCACGGTTTTTGCGTCGAACAGCCACTCATTCACCATTTACGGTTAAGGGGGGGCTCACAACTGGTGATGAGTGTTTTGAGGTTGCTTTTGGTTTACCTTGGACTTTTGAGGGCTTTATTAACAAAGCGGTTGAGAGAGGGCACCCAGCTAACTTCTGCAAGCTGATGCCCAAAGACCTTGCTGATGCCATTGAGTTTCATGTTTTACATACATGTGCTGAAGTGTCGGAGTACCGACTGACGTGGTGCAAACGGTGGCTTCAGAGAGCAGCTGAACTGGACAGAGAAGAAAGGAGGGCGGCGAAGTTGCGTCATCCCTCGACCACAAGCAAGCGTTTGATGCTCACACGAGAAATCCTTGCAAGCATTGAGTACGAAGATGTGGAGGCCCTAAAAATTTTGGAAGAAGGGTCCACCCTGGCTGGCGAAATTGAGAGCGCACCAGTTTTTCAGAAAGCGTACAAACCTTGCGTGGCCACCATCGAGCAACTGGAGGACAATGCTGAGAAGCGAAATTCATTGGTTCTTTCCATGACAAAACCTTCTGCATCCCTTGAGTTAGACGTAGCAGTGCTACAGGAGACAAGGGATGAGATTTCAAAAGGATGGGCAGACGGCCCATGGAAGCTTGAACAATTGGAGCGTGGCGCAACAATTTCTAGAAGATTCCCCCTGTCTCAAGGGGAGAAGACCAGGATGATTGATGATTACTCTGTCTCAGGGGTGAATGATAGCTGTACCATTCACTCGAAGCTGGATTTGCACATGGTCGATACCTTCGTAGCCGTCATTAAATCTTACTTTGAGAAACAGCTGGAAGTTGCGGCTGACTGCAGCCTTGTGGCGAAGACGTACGACCTGAAAAGCGCCTACAGGCAGATAGCTGTGAGAGCTGACCATTTGCGATACGCTTATTTTTGCATCTACAACCATGAACTGCAGGCTGTTGAAATCTATCGTTCAAGGACGCTTCCTTTTGGAGCAACCCATAGCGTCTTCAGCTTCCTGAGACTGGCCAAAATGATTCACAGCATTGCTTGCAGGGGTCCAAAGCTTTTGACCACGAATTTCTACGATGATTTTATTCTTGCGAGCCCATCACAATTGCAGGAATCCTCCCGGAGCAGTCTTGAGTTGGTGTTCATGTTTACTGGTTGGGAATTTGCCCGTGAGGGCAGGAAGGCGACGGAGTTTGCTGGCCTATGCTCTGCCTTGGGAGTCACTTTTGACCTCAAAGATTCAAAGGATGGCGTGCTGGAAATAAGGAATACAGAAAAGCGAATAGCTGACTTGGTCATGCAACTTGAAGAAGTGATTCAAAGGAAGACTTTGAATCGGCCAGAGACGCTCCGGCTGAAAGGGCGCTTGGGTTTTGCTGATGGATTTTTACATGGGAGGCTTGGAGCTTTAATACTCAAACGCCTGGTGGACCATGCATACAGTTTTTCGAATGTGGTTGACAGTGACCTTGCCAATGTTTTGCAGCTGATGATCCGGCGATTGAAACATGCTGGACCAAAAAAGGTGGACGCCACCACTGTGAGAGAATGGAGCATCTTTGCAGATGCATCTTACGATGGACAATCTGGCACTGGAGGCTTGGGTGGTGTGCTTGTTGACAGTCAAGGAAATTGTTGTGCTTGGTTTTCAGTGAGTTTAAACAAGGATGTGTGCAACATCCTGGGTGCGACCAACAAGGAAACAATTATATATGAACTGGAGATGCTGGCGAGCTGCCTCGCCATGGACTTGTGGGCAAGTTGTTTAGCTTCAGCATACCCCGTTTTGTACGGGGACAATGATAGTGTGCGTTTTGCTTTGATCCGTGGAACTGGACTGGGCGTGGTAGCAAATGCAATCATGCAACAACACCTTGAGACTGAAGTTAACTTCAATACAAATGTCTGGTTTGCAAGAGTACCAACTGAGGCCAACATTGCTGACATCCCCTCACGTTTCTTGAGTCATCCTTTCCTACCTTCTTCGATGGACGAATCTAGCAAAGCTTGGACATGTCTGGAAAGGTTTCTACAGAAAGTTCAACAGGCTTGCGACGAGGCGATTGGACGTGGGGAAGGAGATCACCTCATCGCTCCCCATGTTCGAAAAAGGAAGCGAGTTCAAGTTGCTGCACCAAAACAGACGTGACGATGAAGCTCTTGGGACAAGATCGAATAGTCTAGGCAGTTTTGAGTAAAGTCATTTACGTGTGCAGCTTTCATGCTTAAGGGTTGGAGTGGGAGGGACATCGTTAAACGAGTCCTTAGGATTGGTCAAAGACCCACCCACGTTCCACCCTTTTTGCCCAATCCAGGTTTTCCTAACCAAGCCGTTCAGGAGATCACCTCATCGCTCCCCATGTTCGAAAAAGGAAGCGAGTTCAAGTTGCTGCACCAAAACAGACGTGACATTGAAATGGTAATACGTCAGGGTATTTGGAAACATGTCGCAAATGCAGTGTTAACTTTCATTGTTTGTGATGTAGTGATCAAGTGTTTTTGTGTTTATATGTGGTTGTGTTGATGTTCAAACTACCCAGCCATGGAGAAGTCAAACTTGGAAACTTTTTCAGCAAGTGCCTGAGTTTTCGGGAACGATGGGTACAATGTTGAGAATTGTTTGTTTTGGCCTTTGTGGACATTAATTGTGCAAGAGGTATGTATTAAGGCACAGCACACGCCCCAATTTCCAAAATGGCCAGGTCGATGCAGCGACACTGGTGGAAAATCCGCGACAGGTGTGAATTTAGCAGGGATTATTGCTGGTGCATTTGCGTTTGACCTTTCCCGATGCATACTTTGTTTTGTTTTCAATTGTACAGGTAGCTGCGCTATTTCGACGTGATGGTCTTGTCAGGGTAAAACGCATCTTGCCACAAAAAATTGCGGAGGCCCAACAGCGGGGTCTGAGCAAATGAATGTGCTGTGGGTCTGAGAGTTCGCACGGTTGGTCATTTCATATATATATAATATATTATATTATATTGTATTATTATATTATATTATATTACATTACATTATTAGATTATATTATATTATATTATATTACATTACATTATTAGATTATATTATATTATATATATCGTATTTATATTTATATTTATATTTATATTTGTATTTATATTTATATTTACATTTATATGTATATTTTTATATTTGTAATTTATATTTTAAAATTTATATTTGTATTTATACATATATTCGTTTTGATCCTTACATGCGATGGGAGTTTTCCAATCGGGCTGAAACCACAAAACAATAAATTGAACTCAACAAAAAGGACATGAACATCCCCCCAACATGTATTGTTTTTTAATTTTGGCAGTAAATGGGATGTGGACAAGAACTGTCCCGTCCGGCAAAAGTGGTGTGCAAATTCATGGTTCTTGTAGGCCGTTTGCAACCGTGTACATCAAGAACTCCAAACACGGAGAGCTGAAGGTGATGGCAAGTACTTTGGAGATGTCTATGGATATGAGGCACCCGCCACAATTGATCCATTGCATTTCACAACCTGTGTCAAGGATAATTTTCATTCGAACATACGCATTATTTTAAAATCAAAATCATTGAAACAGTAACTTGCGAATCTACAGTTTGAATTGTACTGTCAGACTGTCAGCAGTTCCGGCAGGACACGGGACAACGTTGGGATTTGAAACTCCAGTTGTCTTCTGAAGCCACGTTCTTAATATTTGCGTTTTTTCAGTTTGCTTTTTGCACGATCTCATGTCACTGAGGTGAAACAGGCATTGACCCTGATGCTGCAGCACGTTCAAGGGGTGCAACTGCACTTGTGTATTGTAGTTGTAGCTGTGATTTCCCAAATTTCCCAAAATTGTTCATATTTGAGAGGTAAAAACTGCCCTTTCAGTTCGAAGTACACTGAAATTGAGAAGGTTCCAGCTGAATTTCAGATGGCAGGTGCTTGAGTCCTTGCGCCCATCATGGCAGCTGACAGAACTTGCTGCTGGGATCTCAGGCATTTTCCCCTGCTGTGACAGGTTGATGATGACTTTGGCAGGCCATGTGCACCTTTCCAGAGGATCCGGGGCAACCAGTGACCCAGGAGAAAACTTCCCAAAGTGGTGTTTTTTTTTTTTCCCATCAACATGTTTTTTTTTTAATTGTTTGTGCCAGGTACATGCAGATACCTCCCATGTCTACGATCAGCAGGTGCCGCAGGGATAGGAGTTTTATTGCTGCAAGTCACGCGGTGCAATTGTGGCCGAGAGGTGGTGACCATCTTCGCACTCCCAACTTGTTTCTACGCAAGTTCTGTCAATGCGGATTCTTCCGATGACGTTTTAAACTTTAAATTCTTGCCAACTTTTGGATGATTTGTTTGGATCTGGATCTTCAAGTCTTTTTCGGAAATATTCTCAGCGGCGCCAGGTTGCTCTTCATGACATATCTCCTGAGCAGCGGTCTCAAGATCTCAAGTGCATCTTTCCTGTTTTTCAAGTCCCCGGCCTTGAAGAAACGGCAGGTGCTGTATGAATAAACACCAAGTTTTCTCGCAGGTTGCACTGAATTTGAAAGCTGCGTAGCCACCAAAGGTGCGGAGGTTGCAATGAAGCTGTGGGGTGATAGAGACACCACTATTGTCCTCAGCTAGCAAGATGAAACTAAGGCGAGGACCCACAAAAATGTATCCAAAAAGTCACATGGAAGCTTGGCAGCCAAAAGTGAATACATTCTTTGAATAAAACCAACTGAAAGGCATGCACAAGAAAAGAAAACATACGGATGCTAGCTTACTGCACTCGTTGTCTTAATATACTAACAACTTCCAGTCCTTGAAATTTCGACAGCAACTTAAGCAGCAAACCACACTGGGTTGAAAGCCAAATAGTTCTCGTCCACTGCAGAGCAAAGAACTTTACACTCTCTTTTTGCTGAAGGTGCATGTCATGTCTAGACTTTAGACCTAGGATGGAGAGCTTCACTTGGGAATCAAGGAGGCAGCCCGTTTGTGACACCCACACCCGCCGCACTGTGATGCTATGTTTGCTCCAGAGGTCGATGAGAGTAGCGCAGTTCTTTGTACAATGTCCTGCGGAGATTGCGTTCGGCACTTGGCAACAGAGTGAGTGTTGCTTGGCACAGCATGTGAATAACACCAAGTGACTGGCCAAGTGA